TTTTTTTTTTTTTTTTTTTTCCTTTTTGTCTTTTTTCGTGTCCGGCAACGGATCGCAACCCTCAGTGTCGAGCCTGCACCGGACCGGGACCGGCAACGGTATCGCAACCCTCGGTGTTGCTCCCGCCCCTCGCTCAGCCAGTGAGCGGCCGGTCTGCATGTGGGATCCGAACCCTTGGCAGGAGCGCCACCGCGCTTCCCAAGCGGCGCACTGTAGCAGTGCGCCACCGGGCCGGCCCTATTGCTTTATTTATCATTCCAAAATATACCTTAGTTCCTGCCACTCCTCTCCTTTTCATCTTCCATGGGAACTCATAACTCAGAGAGAAATGTCACCTGCTTCACTTATAGAACATTTATGAATGAAGATACGTTGTGCTAAGGTAAGACACCAGCCAAAGACCAGTCTGACAGATCTCCTATCTCCTCCTTGCAGTATTAGTACATTTTTGTTGCTTATAACAAAATACATGGGACTGGGTATTTTATAAAGAAAAACAAAATTTATTGCTTACAGTTTCTGAGGCTGGGAAGTCCAAAGTCCATCTCGTGGTGGCAACAGTGACCCAGGGGTCTCACACTGCAAGATGGTGGAAGCAGAGAGAGCAGATAGAGAGACAGACTCTCCTCTTTTAAAGCCCTCAGAACCAAGCCCCTGACCACCATTTTTAATCCATTCACAACTGCATGGTCCTACAATTCAATCACCCCGTCAAGGCTCCACCTTTCAATGACCATAATAGGATTTCCCACCCTCTTAAAAATCACAGTGGGGGCCAAGTTTTTAACTCATAAAACTTGGGGGACACAATTCAAGCTTCAGGGAGTTTGGGGGGGACATAATTCAATCCATTACACCTGCCTTGACCCTATACTCTAGTTTCTGAGGCTGGGAAGTCCAAAGTCCATCTCGTGGTGGCAACAGTGACCCAGGGGTCTCACAATGCAAGATGGTGGAAACAGAGAGAGCAGAGAGAGACAGACTCTCCTCTCCTTTTAAAGCCCTCAGAACCATGCCCCTGACCACCATTTTTAATCCATTCACAACTGCATGGTCCTACAATTCAATCACCCCCTCAAGGCTCCACCTTTCAATGACCATAATAGGATTTCCCACCCTCTTAAAAATCACAGTGGGGGCCAAGTTTTTAACTCATAAAACTTGGGGGACACAATTCAAGCTTCAGGGAGTTTGGGGGGGACATAATTCAATCCATTACACCTGCCTTGACCCTATACTCGAAGGCAGTGGTTCTTGACCTTGGCTGACCCTTTGAATGTCTTGATTACCTGGGGAACTTTAAAAATAATACAGATGCCTGGGTCCAACCTTCAGGGCTTCTGTTTTAATTGTCTGGAACAGGGCTTGGACATTGGTATACTGTATATATAAAACAGAGAACCATCGCTCCAGGTTAATTGATTTTTATAGCATTTGCTTTATATATTCAGCACTTTCTGGCCTTACATATTTACTTATGCTGTTTTTCATCCTTAGAAAGCCGTTCCCCAACTATATATGAATTTATCCTTCCAATCCNCTCATAAAACTTGGGGGACACAATTCAAGCTTCAGGGAGTTTGGGGGGGACATAATTCAATCGATTACACCTGCCTTGACCCTATACTCGAAGGCAGTGGTTCTTGACCTTGGCTGACCCTTTGAATGTCTTGATTACCTGGGGAACTTTAAAAATAATACAGATGCCTGGGTCCAACCTTCAGGGCTTCTGTTTTAATTGTCTGGAACAGGGCTTGGACATTGGTATACTGTATATATAAAACAGAGAACCATCGCTCCAGGTTAATTGATTTTTATAGCATTTGCTTTATATATTCAGCACTTTCTGGCCTTACATATTTACTTATGCTGTTTTTCATCCTTAGAAAGCCTTTCCCCAACTATATATGAATTTATCCTTCCAATCCCTGCTCACATGATTCTTTTCCATGTAGATTACCTCCAAAACTCCCAGCCAGAATTCTTCTCTCATTCCTCCAAACCCCTTGGGCCTATCTTCTGATACTCATTACTTTCTACTTGTATTATAGTAGCTGTGTCTAAGAAGCTGTACTGGATTGAACTGGGAGCTTCTTGAGGGCAGATGCCCACCCCATGTATCCTCACTTCCTAAACCACACCTAATGCATAGCTGGCATCTAGTCAGCATTTGCAGAGAGCATGGATGGATGGTTGGACAGATGGATGGATGGGGAACTGCCCTCACCACACTACTGAATGGATAGTGATCCATCATTTGGGATTTCAGGGTGCTTGGCAGAAAATCTTCAATCCAGCCCTCATTTCATCTCAGGGGCGATGGCCCCTTGGGCATCCTTGGGAGACAGAATGAAGATTACCCCGAAAGCATTGAAATGACATCCACGAAGATGGTAAACCCATACAGCTGGTCTCTACCAGGTGNTATTATCTTGTTTAATATGCACAATCACCTTTCAGAAAGACACTGCCACTTTCCTTGTTTTGTTTTGTTTTTTAAAAGATGACCGGTAAGGGGATCTTAACACTTGACTTGGTGTTGTCAGCACCACGCTCTCCCAAGTGAGCCACGGGCCATCCCTATATGGGATCCGAACCCGTGGCCTTGGTGTTATCAGCACCACACTCTCCCGAGTGAGCCACGGGCTGGCCCCACACTTTCCTTGTTTTAACAGATGGGAAAACTGAGGCTCAGAAAGAAATGTGCTCAAGGTTACCCAGCTACTAAATCGACAGTCAGGATTAGAATCCCGTCTCTCTGAGCCAAAGTCTGACCTCTTACTTACCCTGCGTTACTGCTGGGTTGAATCAGGGCAAATACAAACAGGTTCCTGACTGCCAAGCTCTAAAGAATACTGGAAATTAAAATGCTTTAAAAAAACCCAAATAAAACCAGTCAAGTGTGGCTTCCTTCTTTGGGCTCTGGGCTCATTTGTAGGACAGAGGTTGTAGCCCTCTGCAATCACTTGTCCAGTGTCACCCCATCCTGATAAACAATTCATTCCTTAAGAAGAACATATATATATGTTTGTGTTCTAAGGCTCAGTTCTAAGCTCAGTTCTAACCAAATGAGCTAACCAGCCAGCCCAGAAGAACCCATATTAGTCTATGTATCCTCCAAGGCTCTAGGTGATTTTCTTAGTGTCACAGTGTCTAGTACTACAGTGTCCAGGTAGTATATAGTAGGTGCTTGAGAAATGCTAACTGAATTCATAGCAACAACTATAAGAGTTGTATCAGTTAGCTAGTGCCATAGGAATGCTGCATAACCAACAACTCGAAAAACCCAGAGTCATGCAATAAATAAGCATTTATTTCTCACTCACACATCTGCAGGATTGGTTGGGGTTTGGCTGAACTAGGCTGAATTTGGCTGTGCTTGGCTCCAGGATGTGAGTTCTGCTTAGGTCTAGTGTCTTTCTTCTTGAATCAGTGAGCTACCTTAGGCATTTTCTTCCCATGGCATAAGCTGGAAGTGCTTGAAGTAGCAAGCAAAAACATACAATGTCGTTAAAAGCCTTGGTTTGAACTGGCATGCTGTCATTTCTGCCATATTCCATTGGTAAAAGCAAGTCACATGACCAAGCCCAACATCAATGGAGATGGCCATGGTGGGGGAGGTCTAATATTTGCTGAACAGCAATTAATTCACCAGAGTAGTTAGTATATATTAAAGGTTTACTATGTTCCAGGATTATTGAATCACTTTACATGTATTAACTGATTTGATTCCCCCAACAATCCTATGTGAAGTTCCTATTTTTACTCCTATTTAAGATATTGGAGCTCAGAGATGTTAAGTAACATGACCAGGGAGCGTACAGCTAGAGATTAACAGGGCTGGGAATTATTCCCAGGCAGGAAGTTCTAAAACCTCATGTGATGTAATTTTGTTCACATCAAAATGTGCTCCGTCTTCTTTGTTGAGGAGTTTACCTTTAATGTCTATCATGAGTTGAATGAAAATATATTGATATGTGGCACCATTGTGTAGATGCTGAGACTGGACTGTGACTTAAGGAAATCATGCCATATTTCAAATTTACTCATGTGTCATCACAAAATGCGAGAGCTGGGAGGAACCTCTGTATTCACCTAGACAAGTGGTTTTCAAACTTTGGGTTGTAACTCATTAACAAGTTGTAAAATGAATTTTTGAAAATGAAATAGAAAAAATGGAATAGAGTAAGAATATGTCAGAGTGCAGTGTATGCATTCAAGCAAAGGATTGTTTTATGAAACTTTTTCAGTTGTATATGTATAGATGTGTACTGGATCTCGGCATATAAATTATTTTTAACCATGACTTATAGTCAAAAAACCCCATTGATCCAAAGAATAAAAATAAGTAAGGAAAGAAAACAAACAAACAAAAGAAACCCATTGATCCAAGCTGATTATATTTAACAGCACTGTTTTTATATTTTCATCCTATTTTCCACTGAAGTTCTTAATCATTAATCTACTAGAGTTTAGTCTCAGTGCTTACTAACCATCACTAACCATTATGGGCACATTACAACTATTACATGCTCAGGAATACCTTGTGCGGAGGGATTAATTTACAATGTCCCTCCCCTCTTCATTCCAGTGAACCCTGCTTATGTTGGTGAAAGTAGCCCTGTCTCTGCTTGTGGAAACACCTCTTTGTCTGAATGTGATTGGCACAAGTCACCCCAAGGTAAGGCTTAATGGACAGTGACAAAAAAGTCAGCCCTAGAGAAGAAACACATTGAAGGCAGTCCAGACACGGTCATTTCCTTTTGGCCTCTGGTGTGCTAACTGATGCAGTACTTGCTTAATTTATCATAATGGGGTTTTCTTTGAGACCTGCAGTTTTCTTCTCTTCTGGGCATCAAGGTGTCTTCATTAGGAATCTTCTGGTTGTAAGTGACAGAAACCCAACTCAAATGGGCATTATTAGCCCAAAGGGAATTTATTGGCTCATGTAGTGGGAAGGGTATGGGGGAAACCTAAAGAAATGAAGGTAGAAATACCTTCCAGCACCTACTACACTGCATGGCACATAGTAAGTATTTTAGAGATGTTTGTTGGATTAATTTGCTGAATGAGTTACAAAAATCAGGTCCACAGAGGTTCAATGCCCAACATTTTGTTTTTAGTTTATTTTTCATCTGTACTTGATTCAGCTTCTCTTTAAGCTTGACCTCATCCATCTCCATCACAGTCAGGCCTTTTCCATGGGCCAGAGATCATGACCAATGTCAGGCCCACATACACACCCATCAGCTTAGCAGCCTCATTAGAAAGTCTTTTTTTCTCCCTGGGTCTGTCCATCAGTGATGGGGAAAGACTCTGACCAGCTCTGTTTGGAGCACATGCCCACACTTGGACCAATCATTTTTATCATAGAGGACATGATTGGGTTACCTGAATATCCTGTGGCTAATGTCTGTGTTGGTCGGGATGAGGTGCATTGATCAGAATTTTTCTGAATTAATCATACAATTATGATGGCAGAGTATGGAAGCAAGTGGATTGGGAAAAGACAGAAGGCTTTGAAATCCTTTAGGAATCTCTCTAAGGTTCTCAATGTGCAGGGATGAAGGTCTGATCAGAGGCAGAGACCAAGAAATGAAAAGGAAGCAACAGAGGAGAAAGGCTAGGAAATGCTGGAGCCAAAGAGAAAGTGTGTGAATAACAAGAAATACACTAATGGGGTACTCTATATAACAATGCAAATTGAGGGACCACATGACTTAAAATTCTCTCTCACCTTCCAGCCCCATAGCATATAAAATAACCATTAGCCTCACCATTCAAGAGCCTTCTCAAGGGGGTGTATATCTTTCATAAGAGTTGGGTACTACTACTTGGGAGGAAAACAGTGGGGATATCAATGATTACACTCTTCATGTGGTTCCCACTGGAGCAGAGAATAGCTTTAACTATCAAGGAGAAGAACTGCCTTTGAACTTCCAAGACTGCTCTGACTAGCCACCATGAGGTTTGGGGACCCTGGCAGAAGAAGAGTCTCCAAAAAGCAGAGAGAAGTAAAGAAAGAGAGGACGCGGAGATGATCCTGGCTTTCCTCATTTTGCTTTGTGTTTGTTCTGATTCTCAAGCCATGGGCAATTAATTGATGGACAGCCTCTTAATAAAGTGTAGCTTTGATGGATTATGCTATGCATCTAGGAAGGATCTGGCACATAGTAGGAATTCATAAATATTCATGAATGAATGACGTATCAGCATCTTGTTACAGGAAGTGATTAAGATCTTGTGCTTTGGCTTCAGACTAACCTGGGTTTGACCCCGCAGATCTACTGCTGGCTTAGTTTTGTGACCTTAAACAAATTACCTCATTAAACTTTAGCTATAAAATGGGGTTGATTTTAGTTCCTACTTCTCAGGGCAATTGTGAAAATTAAATGATATTCTCTATTTAAAGTACTTGGCCTGAGTAATGGCAGGTGTCATTATTGTTAACTGTTAACTATAGTTATTGGGGAAAAGGAGTACAGTACTTGAGTTCTAGTCCAATCCTGCCATTTAATGAGAGCGTGATGTGGGAGGTGGGGAGGGAGTTGTTCAGTTCATCTCTCTGCACCTCAGTTTCTCCAACTATTAAACAAGCAACTTGGCCTAAGTGATTTCTTTTTTTTTTTTGGCAGCTGGCTAGTACAGGGAACCAAACCCATGACCTTGGTGTTATAAGCCTGTGCCACCCAGCCAGGCTTGCCTAGATGATTTCTAAATCAGGTCTATTGGATAGAAATTGTGTTCAGGTGCCTGGCATTGAAATGGAAAAGTGACTTAGCAATAAAGGGATTTTTTTTTCTCATGTAACTGAAGTGTGGAGGAATTAAGTCCAAAGTTTGTACAGCAGCTCTACCCATGAAGTCCTCAAGGACCAAACCTCCTTCTGTAGCTTCATTCTCTACCATCCTTAGCGGGTGAATGTTCCTGTTCTTATTTTCAAAATGGCTGTGTCCAGGCACAAAGGAGGAGGAATGGTAAAGGGCAAAAGGTGAACCCAGGTAAACCGTCCCCTTTTAAAGAGCATTCCTGGAAGTCACATATCTCATTGGCTAAACCTGGGTCACAGGTTCACCTTTAGCTGCAAAGGAAGCAGGGAGAATTTTAACAGAGCGCAGTGCCTGCACAGAAATAGGGTTTCTGCTGGTGTTAGTAAAAGGGAGAATGGATATTGGGAGCTAAACAATAGCAGTGTCCACCACCCCAGGCAGTCAGGAGATAATGACAGTATCATTATAAACCCATCCGAACTGATGTAGGTATATAAAACTATAAATATAAAATATACCCCTTACTAGCCAGCCGCCAAGAAAATACAATATAATAAAATGTTCTAGGCCAGAGGCCTTAAATTAAAAAGAAAATCTTTCCGGGCCGGCCCGGTAGCGCACTGCTACAGTGCGCCACTTGGGAAGCACGGCGGCGCTCCCGCCGAGGGTTCGGATCCCACTCACAGACCAGTTCCCGCTCACTGGCTGAGCGAGGTGTGGGCACAGCGCCGAGGGTTGTGATTCCGTTGCCGGTCCCGGTCCAGTACGGGCGCGACACTGAGGGTTGCGATCCGTTGCCGGACACGAAAAAAGACAAAAAAAAAGGAAAAAAAAAAAAAGAAAATCTTTCCCTTTGATTATGAGTCATTTAGAAGGATCTCTGCCTTCTGTTTCTAGAATTCCATTGTCTTTAATGGAGAATTCTGCTTCCGATTTCTTAGCTACCAAGACAGAATTCTCTGCAGAAAAATGCAACTCGTCCTGAGGAGGCCTCTCTGGGGGTAGATGCAGGAGTTATGTTGTGATCTGCATGGGGCTGACTTTGGTGATCTCATCTTGGCGTTTGTAAAAAACGTGAATGGTGCGTCCCTTTGTGACTGCCATCACTTTTCCGTGGGGAGCCCTGACCGTGCTGGTGTGACTGCTGTATGAGGTCTTTGGAAGCCCAGCCCAGTGGAGAATAAGACTTGCAGGGGACAAGAGATGCTATCTGAAGGCCAAGTGAATGAAATCATTATAGAGATTGAGAATGCTCCATCTGGTGTCCAAAGCCATTCATCCTCAAATCAGACTTCTCAAGAAAAGACCCTGGTAGACTCAAGCTTTAGCATAGCTTCATCAATATCTGACATCGATGCCAGAGACTCTCAAATTTTCAGCAAGAGGAATGACAAAAAGGGCAACTGGTTGTTACCGTTTTCAACATCTTTGAATGAGTCGCTTTCTCAGACCCTTCATAGCCCAGAATGCATGGGTGTAGATACTCCTTGTACTTCCTATGAAACCATTCAAGGTAGTAAAACACTGGGGAAGAGGAGTTAGGGAGGTGGCTAAGAAGGGTTCCAAATTTTCCACAGGGTTTTTTACTTATAAGACATCAAGTAATGTTGAAGGTTTGCTAGGTGAACTAAGGATGCTCAGGACAAAGGAAGGGATCGCTTTGAGACCTCCCTACTAACAAGAGCTGACCCTGATCAAGCTTATTTTTGTGTCTGCTGCTCTGCTGAACACCTCCTTTATGTTACCCATTGAATTTAGTTTTGTTTACTTCCCACATTCCACCCCTTTGAGGCAAGCATTTCTATTTGCTTGATGAGGAAACAGGTTCAGAGAAATTCAGTGACCTGGCAGATCTGGGATCCAAATGCAGGTCTTCCTGAGTCCTTAACCATTGGAATGTCCCTTGTTGGTCCCATACCTCCCCACCATCCTTCAAATAGGATGCCTTTTAATGCCAAATCCATCATGAAGCCAGGTCTTAGCAGAGACCTCCCAGCATCTCTGCTTCTGAGGCCAACAGAGAAGCTGTTTCTGCTTCACCCCATAATACTGCACCATGAAGTCTAGCAGCTCTAGTTAGAGTACTGTGTTAATAACGCCAGGATCAAGGGTTCAGATCCCTGTACCAGCCAGCTGCCAAAAAATGAATAAGAAAGCCTAGCAGCTCTCAGTGATTTCTGTGAGCAGAAAAAATTCAGTCACACCAAAGCATTTTGTGGATTTAGCCCTTTATTGAAGATTGGGGTGTCATCTGTCACACACTGTCTTGCTGCATCTCTGTGTTTTCCCCTTTTCCCCTGTTCTCCTTTCTTTCTCTCCATCTATTCTTTTTTCCACCTCAGGCGAGACACAAATTCCTCATCTTCCACAGTGTGATTTGGTGGCCTTCTTTGGGGGACTCTCCGTCTACCTCAACTATACGGTTAAAGTGAACAGGGCACTTCATGAGGAGTTCCAGCTCAGGGATGTGACCAAGGAGCCTGCTCCCTCTGCCTCTCAGCCATCTCCAGCTCATCTTTGCCCCAGCCAGTCCCCCACTGGTTTCCCTCACGGGGACAAGATAGTGACGGCTGTTTCAGGCATCATGTGCAGACCCAGTATTCAGAGGAAAAAGGAGCTGTCTTCTTGTTTTTTGCTTTTTTGGGGAGAAGGAAGAAATCTTTTCCAATAAACTTTCCAGCAGACCACCCATCAGAAAACATTGGCCAGCACTGTCTCACATGCCTGTGCTGAAACCAGTCACCTGCAAGGGGGATGGGACTGATGGGATTGGCTTAGACTCAATGGGACCTGCCCCTTGTGCCTGGAGATGGCCTGCCCTGAGGAAGCTCATGGCCTGTGAGGCAGGTGGGGAAGATTTCAAAACACAATCAGGATTCTATTAACAATGGCGGGGGAATGAATGACTTTGAGGTAGGCGACCAACAGCAGCTGCCACACTAACCAGAAATGTGAATTCGTGAAGGAAGTCCTTTCAGAGGTGGAAGAGCATAGGACAATAGTCAAGGAATGTGCAGAAGGCACTTGACCTGGAATTCAGGGGCAAAAGGAAGTAAGCTGGGGTATTAAAGAGAGAAGAGACAGACCCACCAAGAATGCAGGATCTTGCTGGCTTTGCTAATTGTTTTTGTTATGGGAAAGAGAAAAACACTGAATCGGAATAGAGTACAAATGTTACCATTTGCTTTGGCTTTGAGCTTTAACACATGTATATTTTCTTGGTCTCTCGGTGATTTTTGGAATCCCCAGGTTCATATATTTTTCTTTTCTTGTGCTTTTATAAAATCATGCTCTAACTTTGATGCCATATTTTAAAATGTTATGATTCTGTTCAAGGAAAAAGAAATGAAACTTGGTTTATTTTCTTCTACAGCACAAAAGTTAATTGCATCTCTGATACCCATGACATCTAGAGACAGAATTAAAGCCATCAGGAACCAGCCAAGGACGATGGAAGAGAAGAGGACCCTTAGGTATGAATCAAAGGCTTTTCTTCTTCCCCAGATATCATGGGAAACTCCATCTTCTGCTTTTGTCCCATCTTGAAAAGATAAGAAATAAATAAATGCAAAAGAAGAGACAGATCTTTCTGAGTAATCTCTGTAGGATTACATAGACACTCCTCTGTCTAGGAGCGGGAGCTTAACTCCCACCCCCTCGGCTGGAGTACGGGCTATGCTTGGTGACTTGCTTCAAGACAGTAGAGGGTGGAAAGGGGGGGAAGTAACTTTCTAGTGGGTAAGTCTCGCTAGCACTACCTCGGCCAGGTGCTCGAGGTTAACATCCCCCCCTTGATAAGTCATCCCTCAATAAGTCCTGTAACAAGAAGGGCATGTCCCCTCTGTGGTGCTCTCTCCTAAAACCTATAACCCAAGTCTAACCAGAGAAAAACATCAGGCAAATCCCAACAAAGGCACATTCTACAAAATACCCAATCAGTACCCCTTGAAACTGTCAAGGTCATCAGAAACAAGGGAAGTCCAAGATACTGTCATAGACTAGAGGATTCTAAAGAGGTGTGACAACTAAATGCAATACAGTATCCTAGACGGGATCCTGGAATAGAAAATGGACATCAGTGGAAAAACTAGTAAAATCTGAATCATCTGGAGTTTAGGGAATAGTAATGTACCAATGTTGGTTTCTTCATTTTGACAAACCTACCGTGGAGATGTAACATGTTAATGAGGGAAACTGGTGAGTGGGATATGGAAGCTCTCCGTACTGTCTTTGCAACTTTACTGTAAATCTCAAACTACTCTAAAATTAAAGGTTTACTTTTTTAAAAAAGGAAGACCTTAGGGGCTTTCTAACCCCAGGAATTTAAAAACAACAGTGAGGGCATTTTAGACTTCAGACTTCATATTTATTAGTTCTTGATCTTTTTTTCTTTTAGCAATTTATAGTACATAGTTGGCAAAAACTAGTAGACTGGATGTAGTGATTGCTAATAAGTAATTCAACGGTTCTGTTTTTCTGAGGTTGCAAAGATAAATTTCAAAGCCTGGCAGGAGAAATAGATATATCAACAAGCGACTTGTAAAGACCTGAAGGGAATGATACAGTCTGCTGGGGCAAAATGGGGAGGCGGGGGCATTTGAACTCAGCCTTGACATGGGGGTGGGCATTTGAAGTGGACCAAATAAAGCCAGGAAAGTACCAGAACAAAATAGATGTGGTGAGTTCATGGAAGGATAAAAAGACCTACTGTGATTGTGTCTCTCAAAACACTTTCATTTCGGGCTGGCCCGGTGGCGCACTGCTACAGTGCGCCGCTTGGGAGCGCGGCAGTGCTCCCACCGAGGGTTCAGATCCCACATACAGACTGGTTCCCACTCACTGGCTGAGCGAGGTGTGGGAGCAACACTGAGGGTTGCAATCCTGTGGCCGGTCCCGGTCCGGTACGGGCGCGACACTGAGGGTTGCGATCCGTTGCCGGACACGAAAAAAGACAAAAAGGAAAAAAAAAAAAAAAACACTTTCATTTCACATTCTGAATGGCTCCCTCTCTCATGGAAGCACCCCAAAGACCTTTCAGCAGGATTTCTTGACCTCAGTGCAAATGACATTTGGGGGCTGGATCTTTCTTTGTTGTGGGGGCTATCCTGTTCATTGTAGGGTGTTTAGCAGTATCCTTGGTTGGCCTCTACCTGGTAGATGCCAGTAACACGTACTCCTCTCCCCCTCCCCTGTCTGACAACCAGAAAGTCTCCAGACATTGCTAAGTGTCCCCTGAGGGGGAAAATCGCCCCAGGTTGAGAACCACAGACTTATAGGAACACCCCCAACCCCGTGTTATCACCTATTCTCCTCTCTTCCCTTTGCTTATTTCTTTCCAGCCACCCTGGCCTCCTCTCTGCTCTGTCCCCCCTTTGGGGCTTTGTGTGGTCTGTTCCCTATACATGGGCCATCCCCTTATCCAGACAACTAACTTCAAACAGTGTGATGCTCAGGTATCACCTACTGCAAATTGTAATATGTTCCCCACCCCAGCATTTCCCATCTCTACCCTGCTCTGTTTTTTCTTTTTCTTTCCCGTAGTACAAATCACCTTCTAATATACTACATGGTTTACCCATTTTATTATTATATTTATTGTTTATTGTCTTTCTCTTCCAACTAGGATGTCACCTCCACGAGCCAGGGAGATTGGTTTCTTTTGCTTATAGCCTGGGACCGTGCCTGACACATAGCAGGCATTCAGTTACTATTTCTTGAATAAATGTATAACAGCACTGGTGTCTCTCATTTTCTCCTGCCATTCCCCACAGGAAAATAGTTGACAAAGAGAAAAGTAAACAGTCCCATCGTATCCTTGAGCTCGACTGCTGTGCTCAGTGTCTGAACTCTGTTTTACGGGTAAGTCAGCCGTTATTGCAGTCAGTAAAATGGGCACAGCAAGTGGGTAAAAACCAGGAAGGCGGAGAGTGAGGGTAAAAGCGGACCCAAGGGGAAGAAGAACCAAAATTCAGGGCTGTTTTGTTGGCAAGAGCCATCGGGTTAGTTTAGATGTGGGGAAATGAGTGGCTGTGAGGAAGGTCTAAGAAGTCGCTGAGTTAGTTGGTCAATGTGGCCATTGTGAATGTCACCTTCTTCAACAGCAAACCTGGGAAGGTAATAATAGAACTGCCTTAGAGTGTGGTTGTGAGGATTACATGAGATAACCTTTGTAAAGGTACTTAGCATGGTGCCTGGCACATCATGCCGTTCTAGAAATGGTGGCCGTTCTTGCTATCATGGTGCCTGATCAGGAGGTATTTATTGAGTGAATATCAAGCCACCCACTTTGCATCCTGACCCCAGGCTTACCGGAGATCCAAGAACAGCCTGTCGGAATTCCTCAGTTACATCAGCCCATGGCAGAAGACGCTGAAGGTCATCGGAGGCAAGTTCGGAACCAGCGTCCTCTCCTATTTCAACTTTCTCAGGTGGCTTTTGAAGTTCAACATTTTCTCATTCATCGTGAACTTCAGCTTCATTGTAATCCCTCAGCTTACCGTGGCTGAAAGGAACACCCTCCAGTTCACTGGATGGGAGATTTTAACTGGGACGGTAAGTTCCTCATTTCCCTGACCCAAGTTCAGCACCTTGGAAACTGAGGGACAGACATTGCTGGTGACCTACCCAGACCTCTCATTTTGCCTGCAGGTTAAATTGATGGGGAAAATGGGTGTTTGAAATGTTTTTTCCTCCCAAAGTAACACGCAACATAATGGAATTTCTGTCTCCAGAAGTAACCACCAGGAACAGTTTGTGTTGTCCACAATCTTTTTTGCACATCTGTGGACACAACTATTCATGCACACAGGCATTCTTTTCTTTCTTTCTTACAAAAGATGAATTATTGTCTATGACTTGTTTTCTTTGCACCTAACAATATGTGGTTTGACATCTCCTTTTGGTGTTCATAGACCTATGTTTTCTTTATTTTAAATTTTTACTTCTACAAAATACAACGGTCCTTTTAGAAAATTCCTACTACAGAAGAGGACTAAAAGAAAGTCCATTTTACTTTTTTTCCCTCGTCTAACTCCCCAGTCCA